TCTTTGCTTGTTTCTCAAAGGCGCACTTCTCTTCAAATGAATCCTACGCTCTACGATTTCCCACATGGATTCCCTTTCTAGTCCCACAACTTAGTGGCTACGCTACAGGAAACTTTTTAGAAAGTAGTACACACACATTCTTTTTTAAATTCCTGGATTTTTTTAAGAGACTTTTTTCAGAGGTTGAAATATTTTTTGCATTTCATCAGCTTTCTTAGCGTTCAAATTGTTCATGATTGTAGATGTTAATGAATGTGCAGCGAAGCGGAATCCGTGTGAGGGTCAGACAGGCGCATCACGATGCGTGAACATCGATGGCGGTTACATATGCTGCGAGGAAGAGCTCAATGATGAACAGTGCATACGAGGTGATTTTTGAATTTCTAAGTAACTCTAATTAGCATATAGAATTTTGGTAGTTAGTGATACTTCGATTTCAAAGCAGTACTTGGAAGCAATCGTTACCGCAACCAAATCGGATTGGTCGTATAAGTCCTCTAGCGTTTGGTACGGTTTGGAGCCAAACTATCATTGATACTAATTAGAGCGGCAAGAATTCAGTCTAACTTGACTTTTTTCCTTATGAATTTTTCTGCAAGGAAAACGATTGAAGGTAATTGCCGTTAGCTTTCAACCATGCTTGTTCTAATTCCGGATGAGTAAAGAGCTCCTTCTTTGTGGACAGTGTGGTTAGAGAGCGTTTGAGTCTGATGAACTTTAACCTTTCACTTTCTTGAAAAAGATTCAAAATTTCTTTGAGCTCCTTTCAGTTCCGACAGAAGTAATTCATAGAAAAGTGCAATTCACCGGTATTTGCGTAGTAAATAGTACGTAGTAAAAAAACGACGCACACTAATAACAGTAAAAGGAAGTGATGGAACATAATATTAGTAGCATCAAAAGTAAAAATAGCTTTGAAGACAAAATGGTCTTAAGAGCTTTGAAGACAAAATACTCTTGAAATGTTGGCCAAAAGCGAAGCTGTGAAAATATTATTGTCACTAACTGTATTATATTCAGAAAAAGGAGCATTTTGTTCGGGTGGTTGCGGACTAAACGCTTTATGCTACAACGAAACATGCCAGTGCATTGAAGGATTTGACGGCGATCCACGTGTTAAATGCAGAGGTATCATCCTGTGCTTTTTATCTCAAAGAGTACTTTCAGACAGTCACTTGTGGATGGGGTGGAACTGTCAAATTAAGATGCACCTCACATAGCAAGGCAGTGGTACCACAGTACTCGGATCCCAAGTTTTACGATCTTGCAACTGGTAACCAAAGCCTGTACTACTTGTTTTCATAGCATTTGCAAAAAGTGCATGGTAAAAGGAATAAGATTGGAGCAGCCACATTTTTTCCATGAACTGCAGTCTGTCACACCTAAAGTACAGTTTGTTTTACTGCATTAAAATGGTTTCCTGACCCACTGTTAAGCACTTGGATATCGCACTGCATGCTGTGACTGTGTTTATGTAATCCTAAATCGCAGTTTAGCAAAGACTGGATATTTCTTTACTGTTCAAAAAATCACCTTCGATTTCAAACACTGCTGCTGTG